GGGGGGGGGGGGGTGTACAGGGACAATGATAGCATACCTGGACTTGTAGTTCCTTAGCTGATATATATGTGTGGGGGTGGGGGGTACAGTTCTAGTGGATGTTTAAATAATATGGGGGGGCGAAAAAAAATGTTCTGCCCCGGGCGCCCATAACTCTGGTTAAGCCACTGAAAGGAAATCAGTGACTATTAAAGCCAAATGAACCCCAAAACAGTGAACGTTTTTATAGAGGTTTATTTTTCGGAAACTGTAGGGAGACCTTTTTAGGAGACACTTTAGGCATAAATAGTACCTCCTGGAGTTCTTTATTAACCCCTTCACGACTCAAGACGGGATAATTCCGTCATCGGTCCTTAAGGGGTTAAACAGACTCCCGGCGGGAGTCTGTTCATATTTGTAGAGCCGATGGCCGCATTTACAGTCAAAGCAATTCTGTGGACTCAGCTGTCACCAGATCGCTTTTACGATCCAATAAAGTCGCGCCCTTCCCCGACGTGTTTCCCGGGCTCTGCTGCCCCTCCTGGGACCGGCATCTTGGGTGTCGGCAGGAGGCTGGGGAGGAGAGCAGCGAACGTCCATTCACTGAACTCCTCCCCGTTCTATGGGGGTGATCATTTCCGGTCCCTGAGCTGTCAGTGCTGGGCTCCTGAAGCCGAGCAATAGGCTTTCGAAGTGCGATCTGCACTTCAATAGCTTATTTAGAGTGTGTCTTTTGGACCCACAGTATCATCTTAAAAAGGACCTGTCACTACCAATATGCCATCACATGGGGGGCTTGTAAGCCCCCCTATGTGACAGCAATTAAAGTGTTGAATAAGTTTTAAAAATTAAAAATAAAAGAAATGTAAAAATATAAAAAAACTTTTTTTTTAAAGTCTCCAGTCCCCAGAAGTGCTTGCGTCTTCATGTAAACACGCGTTGGGTGTGCCTAAGTATGAAATTCACGATTATGCTACACATGTTGGGTATCGCCGCACATGCCAGAGTGAGAGTAATAGTTCTAGGGCAAATATTTACGCATATCTCTAAACTGATGACCTGTAGGGGCTTTTAAAGCGTTGTGTATGGACTGTTTGGGGTACTGAATTGCGTCGTAGTTTCAAGGACGCACACAATTTGTAACCTGGGCATGTTGGGTATCTATTTACTCGTAACCTCATCTTTTACTGTATATTTTACAAAAAAAGGGTTCTATATAGGGTTTTGGGGCACTAAATTTAACTTAAGTGCATTTGTCACTAAATTTTTGGGTTTGATAATAAGTTGCGCTAATATCGTGCAACATAAAAATTTGCAACTGCCAATATTTTATTCTATAGGGTCTTGGCTTTTTCAGAAAATATATATTATGGTTGGTTGTTTTAAGTAATTTTCAGTCCTAAAATGTGGAGTATAACATGTGGGCAAAAAAAACACAAAAAGGGCTTGGTCCTTAAGGGGTTAAATGGGGACTCACCACTACAGAAAGAACTTACTAAAGCTGCTACATGCTAGCTTAGGGGTCGGCAACCTCTGCACAAGTCCCATTAGGCAATGGAACACTGACAGCCACAGGCATGATCCACAGAGGAAAAGGCATGAAGGGATTTGTCGTTTCTCCAAGCCAAAGTTGCCCAGTCCTGTGCTAGCCAATGCTAAATTTGTTTACAATGGATCAAAAGTCATATAAGCTTAACAGGAGACCACAGCTTGTGTGGCTTCTACCTAGCAACTTTGTCCACTATCAAACACTCCGCTGGTGAATGGGACATACTAGGAAAGCTAAATGAAAAACCGCACACTGCAGGCCATCTTTATATTGAGTCAATATCATTCACTTTTTCTGGTCCCCGCATTTAAGTAGCCTTTGGCAAGTGTGGGAGACTTCCTCAAATGCACATTCCGACCCCTGTGCACCGGCTCTGATGGCAGTTGAATTTCCAATTTGTCTCTTTTTCATTCAAAGTATTTCCTATTCCACCATTTTTCTCATTCCCAAACAACTAAAACAGCAAATGTAGAGACTGTACAGAAATAGTATTTATCTTATTTGTGTATCTTTAACATGAGGGTGGCCATAGGTGGAATGATTCTTCCTCAGATTTGACAACCTGATCCAGAACTCAGACGGGGATCAGAACTACTCTAGATAGGCAAACTGATCATTTAGTGCTGTAGGTTCTCCTGATTGCACACTTCTTGGAACACCAATGATTTGCACAGTACACTGCGACAGATCTATGCACTTTCATGAATTCTCAGATGTCTTGTTGTTGTTGATTTAGTCACCTATGGTCCCTTTACTTATTATAAGCCTCCAGTGTGATGACCTGCTACCCCCCGCCATACCCATCACTTGTTTTACAGCAAAAATCTAGAAAAACCTCCATTATCCCCCTCCACCTGCCAGATGGTGAGGGATGGGGAGTATACTGTATGTACACACACACTAGCTATAGAATAAGATGGATCTGTGCTCTGCTACATTACTAATAAATGCCATGCAGTCAATCTGTTCCAGATCATTTAATAGTTTCACGCTGAGAACCTGCTTTTCAAAATATTTGTATTCACATGTTACACACAAATAACAGGAATCAATAAACATAGAGACATAAGTTTACCTACTAGATTACACACCCAGAAAAAAAACAATATTTATTCCCTGCAATACAGCTTGTCCATAACGGAGATCACAGATAGAAGGATATTTCATAACTTCAAAGAATGTGTAATAACAACTACACTCCTACTTATTGTGTGCGAGTTCCAATGATGGTAATCCATGCAAAGCTTGGTGGAAGCGTGTCATGGCAGGAAAGCTGTATTGTTGTCGTCTAATTATCCAGAGAATTTGAAACTAAAAGATTTAGACGCTTCCCTGGTAGCTTTCTTACAGAATGTTTGGTGGCATATAGAGGTAGAGCAGAGAACACACTGTTATGCCAAATCAAGGGATTCCTCCATAATGACAAAAGTTTGAGAATATTCAGTGACAGGGAATGTACACACAGGCATCAAAGGCAGTGTAGAGAAAGTCTTTTTTTTACTTCATTGTTTTCCAGGGCCGATGGGTATTATGTGAGGTGCTGACCTCTCATTGCTCCAAAATCAGAGGGTATGCAAAACCTTCACTACTAAAAAGACAAGTAAGCTGAAATCTCTCCAATGTGAGGAGCAATTACCACTCAGATCGCTGTTACAAGAATAGGTGCCCACAATGAGAGATTTCCCCTCACCTCCTGTTCCTGGGAAAATTTAGCATCTTCCATCACTTTTTGTACCATTTTGTACAATGGTCACCAGGACTAGAGGACAGAGTGAATCCCCCGCCCCCAGAGGAGACCAAGACAGCAAATAGTAACCTCATGTGCAGAAATAAAGGGGAACCAAACCAAAAGGTGAAAGTGTCCAAACGTGCCTTTAAGGCCCCTTTCACACGGGCACCTGTCAGTTCCGAGCAGCAGGGGATCCGTGCATGGATACGCTGCTGATCGGTGCAGTATGGAATAGATATAACCGTACTGACATACGTGTCCGTCCTGTTTTTAAAAACTTACTGGATGCATTTTAGGTCTATAAGTGTAACATACTTACCCATCCGCTCTCTGGGTACGGAGTCCAGCGCCGCCTACTCCCGCAGTGTCACTCCGCTTCTCCTCTCTAGCCGGCTGTCAGTTTAAAGCCGGGAAGTTTGAAACACTCAGCGTTCTAGGAATGCAGCTGACTCTGAGCATTTCCTCTGCCTCGGCAACACCAAGAAAATAAAACATCAAGTATACTCACCTTAACCCTCACCATCCTGGACTTCAAGCCATAGAATAACTACCCATACTCGTCATCCTGGGAGAAATAAGGAAGAATACTTACCCATCCACTCACCATGCTGGGTTAGGAGTATACTCACCTTTCTGCACATCAATGAACTCTCAGTCCACTTAAAGCTGCAGTACTCCGCCCTGGAAAACTCTGCAAGAGCTTCCTCTCTGGAACTAGCTCAACGCCATCTATGTGTGCACTGCAAGTACTCTCGGGAAGGCTAGACCTTTGTCTTCGAACTGACACCACCGTGAACAACCAACGCAGCTAACCGCAGTACATATATTAACTTGCAGTTTTCCCTACTAAACACTTCTGTGGTAA